TGGTAGGCCACGTCACATGACAGGGCGGGGTCAGCGCATGCTGAAGCGCACAGTGCGCAGAAGTCACCAACTGACTGCAGAGTCAATAGCTAAAGACCTCCAAACTCGGTGTGGCCTTCAGATGAGCCCAACAACAGTGCGTAGAGAGCTTCATGGAATGGGTTTCCATGGCCGAGCAGCTGCATCCAAGCCTTACATCACCAAGTGCAATGCAAAGCGTTGGATGCAGTGGTGTAAAGCACGCCGCCACTGGACTCTAGAGCAGTGGAGGCATGTTCTCTAGAGTGACCAATCACGCTTCTCTGTCTGGCAATCCAATGGACATGTCTGGGTTTGGCGGTTGCCAGGAGAACGGTACTTGCCTGACTACATTGTGCCAAGTGTAAAATTTAGTGGAGGAGGATTATGGTGTGGGGTTGTTTTTCAGGAGTTGGGCTTGGCCCCCTAGTTCCAGTGATGGGAACTCTTAAGGCTTCAGCATACCAAGACATTTTGGACAATTTCATGCTCCCAACTTTGTGGGAAGAGTTTGGGGATGGCCTATTCCTGTTCCAACATGACTGCGCACCAGTGCACAAAGCAAGGTCCATAAAGACATGGAGGAGCCAGTTTGGGGTGGAGGAACTTGACTGGCCTGCACAAAGTCCTGACCTCAACCCCACAGAACACCTTTGGGATGAATTAGAGTAGAGACTGAGAGCCAGGCCTCCTCCCCCGACATCAGTGCCTGACCTGACAAATGTGCTTCTGGAAGAATGGTCCAACCTTCCCATAGACACCCTCCTAAACCTTGTGGACGGCCTTCCCAGAAGAGTTGAAGCTGTTATAGCTGCAAAGGGCGGGGCCAACTTAATATTGAACCCTACGGACTAAGACTGGGGGGCCATTAAAGGTCATGTATGTGGAAAGGCAGGCCGACCAATATTTTTGGCAATATACTGTATGTGTGTGTATATATATACAGTTGTGTCCAAAATTATTCAACCCCCAATGCTGTAAAGGGGTTTAGGGACTATAGTGTACATTTGGAATTGTATTCAGAATCAAATCCTACAAGGACGTTGTAACTACCCAAATGCAACTAAAATGACATCAATTGTTTATGTAATACAGTAGTAAATGGTTCTTATGTGGTTTCTTCATTGCCACAATTATTCAACCCCTTAAAGACTACCACTCTGAAGAACAGAGGTTCATACAGGTGCTTTCCATCAGGTATTGAAAACACCTGTGGATGTCACCGAGCAGCAATCAAGCATAATAAGCACCAATTAGGCAGCTTTAAAATGACTGTGATACTCAGCTCCTTCTAGACATTTACTGGTGTGGTTACAAACATGGTGAAGGCAAGAGAATGGTCCAGGAAGACAAGAGAAGAGGTGATTTCTCTTCACAGGAAGGGCAATGGCTATAAGAAGATTGCAAAGATGTTAAACATACCAAGAGACACCTTAGGAAGCATCATTCGCAAATTCAAGGCAAAGGGCACTGTTGAAACGCTACCTGGTCGTGGCAGAAAGAAGATGCTGACTTCGACTGCTGTGCGCTACCTGAAGCGTAGAGTGGAGAGAAGTCCCCGTGTGACTGCTGAGGAACTGAGAAAAGATTTGTCAGATGTGGGTACAGAAGTTTCAGCCCAGACAATAAGACGCACACTGCGTAATGAAGGCCTCCGTGCCAGAACTCCCAGGCGTACCCCCTTGCTGTCTCCAAAGAATAAGAAGAGTCGACTGCAGTATGCCAAAAGCCATGTGGACAAACCACAAAAGTTGTGGGATAGTGTTCTGTGGACTGATGAAACAAAATTAGAACTGTTTGGGCCCATGGATCAACGCTATGTTTGGAGGAGGAAGAACAAGGCCTATGATGAAAAGAACACCTTGCCTACTGTGAAGCATGGTGGAGGGTCAATCATGCTTTGGGGCTGTTTTGCTTCTGCAGGTACAGGGAAGCTTCAGCGTGTGCAAGGTACCATGAATTCTCTTCAGTACCAGGAGATATTGGATGGAAACGTGATGCAGTCCGTCACACACCTGAGGCTTGGGAGACGTTGGACCTTTCAACAGGACAATGATCCCAAGCATACCTCCAAGTCCACTAGAGCATGGTTGCAGAGGAAAGGCTGGAACATTTTGGAGTGGCCATCGCAGTCACCAGACTTAAATCCGATTGAGAACCTCTGGTGGGACTTAAAGAAAGCAGTTGCAGTGCGCAAGCCTAAGAATGTGACTGAACTGGAGGCCTTTGCCCATGAAGAATGGGCGAAGATACCCGTAGATCGCTGCAAGACACTTGTGTCAAGCTATGCTTCACGTTTAAAAGCTGTTATAACTGTAAAAGGATGCTGTACTAAGTACTAAGATTGAATGTCACTTGGGGGTTGAATAAAACTGATAATGCTGTGAGCACAGAAAAGACATTTGTGGTTATTTCATTATAACTGTTATGTTATATTGTGTCTGACCTACAAGTGCCTCTTTAATGTAAATGTAAGCAAGATGACTGAATGATCAAAAGCAATGTCAAACTGGCCAAAACACTCAATTTCAGTGGGGGTTGAATAATTTTGGACACAACTGTATATATATATATATATATATATATGGCATACAATTATAAAATTTTATTTCATAATATATCAAATAAAAACCTACAGTACAAAGCAACAAATTGTGTTACAGTCACAAAATGAGAGACAACCCGTTATCTTCTCCTTCCCTGGAAACCATGTCACTGTGAGCAGTATCCTATGGTGCTATTCTGCAATACTGGGACTAGAAGGACTAATCATAATTCAAGGCCTTTGTCCTCTTTTTGCTTATTAATCTAAAAGTAAGTTTGCATTATGAAGGGTAATGTGGGGGCCGTGACACAAAGGCCTTCCTGGTTACTTTCCCTAAGAGAAGTCACTCCTTGCAGAATCTTGGTTACCAGTGAGGGAGAGAGACGGAACAGTTTAGTGGTTCCAACTACAAGGGAGCACTGCCGTAGGAGTAAGTGAACTGAGTGTTAGCCATTTGGTTGTTTGCAAGTTGTCAGGTGCTAGTGTGACATAGGCCTTAGGCTTTCAGGGGGGGTCAGTGTTGGGGTTACAGGTTGGGTTAGTGTTAGGTTTACTGGGGGGTTAGTGTTAGGGTTACAGGGTGGGTTAGTGTTAGGTTTACTGGGGGTTAGTGTTAGGGTTACAGGGTGGGTTAGTGTTAGGTTTACTGGGGGGTTAGTGTTAGGGTTACAGGGTGGGTTAGTGTTAGGTTTACTGGGGGGTTAGTGTTAGGGTTACAGGTTTGGTTAGTGTTAGAGTTATAGAGAGAGTTAGTCTTAGGTTTACATGGGGGTTAGTGTTGGGGCTATAGGGAGGGTTAGTGTTAGGTTTACAGGGGGGTTAGTGTTAGGGTTACAGGGAAAGTTAGTGTCAGGGTTACAGGGAAGGTTAGTGTTAGGGTTATAGGGACGATTGGTGTTAGGGTTATAAGGACGGTTGGTGTTAGGGTTACAGGGAGGGTTAGTGTTGGGGTTACAGGGAGGGTTAGAGTTAGGGCTATAGGGATGGTTGGTGTTAGGGTTATAGGGACGGTTGGTGTGTTACAGGGCGGGTTAGTGTTAGAGTTATAGGGATGGTTGGTGTTGGGGTTACAGGGACGGTTAGTGTTAGGGTTACAGGGAGGATTAGTGTTAGGGCTATAGGGATGGTTGGTGTTAGGGTTATAGGGACGGTTGGTGTGTTACAGGGCGGGTTAGTGTTAGAGTTATAGGGATGGTTGGTGTTGGGGTTACAGGGAGGGTTAGTGTTAGGGTTACAGGGAGGATTAGTGTTAGGGTTACAGGGAGGATTAGTGTTAGGGTTATAGGGACGGTTGGTGTGCTCCAGGGCGGGTAGTGTTACGGTTATAGGGATGGTTGGTGTTGGGGTTACAGGGAGGGTTGGTGTTATGGTTACAGAGAGGATTAGTGTTAGGGTTACAGAGAGGATTAGTGTTAGGGTTACAGGGAGGGTTAGTGTTAGGGTTACAGGGAGGGTTAGTGTTAGGGTTACAGGGAGAGATGGTGTTAGGATACAGGGAGAGATGGTGTTTGAGTTACAGGGAAGATTAGCATTAGGGGTTAGGGTTCGAGTTACAGGGGGGTTTGTGTTAGGATTATAGGGAAGGCTGTTAACTTTACAGAATGGAATGGTGTCATAGCTACATGGAGGATTAGTGTTATAGGGATGGTTTCTGGGAGTTTTAGTGTCAGATTTAAGCTCTCTACTCGTCTAAAATTTTGATGGTGGCACCAACCAGCTCCACAAAAGTTGACTGAAAAAAAAACAGCCAGGTAGAGTTCTATGCAGTCATTGTTCAGGTATTCAGACAGCCATGGGTGCTGCAGCTATCTGAATAAAATACCTAGAAGGAGAGAGAATTCCATTCTGTTTAGCTTGTATAAGGGAATCAGTAGATTTAGCATGGATGGAGGCTGAACCAGAGAGATCTAAGCAAATCCAAGCTGCAGTTACAGGGAAGGTTAGTGTTGGGGTTACAGTTAGGGTTCTAGGGAGGATGAGTGTGAGTGTTAGGGTTACATGTGGTGTTAGGGTTATGATTACAGGGAGGGTTTGAGTTATAGGAAGGATAATGCGAGGGTTAAGAGAGTGTTTGAGCTACAGGCAGGGGCGGACTGACAACTCATGGGGCCCCCGGGCAATAGGGGATCATGGGGCCCCTGTGACCTTGCCCACACTCAAAAAAAGCCTATAAAAGGTACCAGGGGCATTTCATGGGGCCCCCCACTGACTCTGGGCCCTCGGGCAGTGCCCGAGTGCTCGAATGGTCAGTCCGCCCCTGGTTACAGGAAGGGGGTGATTGAGGGGGGCATTGAGGTAGGGCATTGCATTCATTGATGTATGCTCTAAGTATCACTGTCCTTTATTTTACTGCAGGGTCTTTGCTGGTTTTGTATTATAATTAATGTCTGTCTATTGCAGTTATTTTTAGCCCTCTCTCTGTCTTTCTCATTAACAGTACAGAATTGGACAGCTGTATACTATCAGCAAGCACAGCCACCAGGAGAGCGATCGGGGAGAGGGCGTAGAGGTCATGGAGAACAGATCGCATCATGATCCGGTCTATGGACCTGGCCAGTACACAGAGAAACGGGTCCACCTCTCCAGGTAGGTCTACATTAGGCATGAAGGACACACTGCACATGGAAGCAGACAGAAAAGAAGCGGCAGCCAACCCGCCTCTGAATTGGGGAATTCTCTAGAAGCAAAAAAAAAAAAGAAACATGACAACCTGCTTTAAACTTGAGCAAAATTTGCTTATTGTGGAATGATTTACACTTTACTGCTTTAGTTCTATAACACGTGCAAATTGGTTTAGTTGGCTATCCTTGTGAGAATCCATTCTGTACAGTCTGATTTACTAAGCACAAATTCTGTTAATGGAAACCAGTACTGAGGAATTATGGGGGCAGCGTCCCTTCTTCTAAAAATACTGGCTATCCATTGGCTTCAATACCTTTAGGGTCAAGTATGTAGATTAGGCATTTGGACTTCACTATGACTGACTAGACTTGTGTGCATGTTCTAGGCCTTGGGTCTCCAAACTACAGCCTGTGGGCTACATCTGACCCATTACAAGATCTTATCTAGGCCACAGACAGTATCAGTGGCACCTTGTCAATGGGCATAATGGCTGCTTATGGTCTCAGTTCCTGGACAACCCCACAGTCTCCAGCACAGGTTTCCCCCCCAATTGCTTGACATGCTCTGCCTCCTGGCTCCCGCCCTGCTACTTCAGTGGTAAGGGGAACTCTAATGGGGACCCTAGTAGAAGGGGAGACTCTGTTGGAGATCCTGATGTAAGGGGGGAACACTGATGAGGACCCTGATTTTCTGAATAACTGATTTTCTGTGGACCTCGAAAATTTGTAAAATATACAATTGGGCCTTTCTACAGAAAAGTTTTGAGACCTCTGCTTTAGGCCAATGATGCCAGAGACAGCCAGGCAGCTAGCATTTTCAGAAGATCAGCAGTGGAATCCTCTATACTTTTCTTAGTAACAAGGCTGTCAAAAAAGAGGTCCTATGGTCTCTTACCTATTGAAAACATTGCAAATGAATGTCAATTTGTCTAGCGAGGTAAGTACAGTAACTGGGAGGTGGCCAACTTTCTCCTTAAAGAATCTTGAAAGCTTTAGAAAAGTCAGATGGTACTCTTAATAAAGTCTGGTGGTACACTGCCTAAAGACCAATGGTACTCTTTTTCGAGTCCAATGGTACTCTTGCTAAAGTCTGATGGTACTCTTCTAAAGTCTGGTGGTACGCTTTCTAAATACCAATGTACTCTTTTTCGACTCCAATGGTACTCTTGCTAAAGTCTGATGGCACTCTTCCAAAGTCTGATGATACACTTCATAAAGTCTGATGATACTCTTCTTAAAGCCCAATAGTACTTTTCCTAAAGTCTGGTGGTACTCTTCCTAAAGACCAAAGGTACACTTTTTAGATTCCAATGGTTCTAAAGTCTGATGGTGCTCTTCTAAAGTCTGATGATATGCTTCATAAAGTCTGATGATACTCTTCCTAAAGCCTGATGGTACTTTTCCTAAAGTCTGGTGGTACTCTTCCTAAAGACCATTGGTACTCTTCCTAACATCTGATGGTACTCTTCCTAAAGCCTGATGGTACTTTCCTTAAATCCAGATGGTACTCTTTCTGAAGCTCAGTGATACACTTCCTAAAGTCTGATGGTACTCCTTCCTAAAGCTCGATTGTACTCTTCCTTTTTTCACGTTACTAAGTTGTGATCATGTAGTGTCTGATAAAAAATGTTTTCGTGAGGTGGTGCTGATGTCCCTGCAACATGTTGTTCCATATGCAAGCTAGATATCCCAATGTCACTCAAGGCTGGGCGTTACTGCGGGCAGTACAGGTATATGATCAGCTAAGCTCATTATCCCTGCTCAGGAGCATGCTAATGAAAACTTGTAATCCAGACATAGGCAGGAGTAGTGTCAGACTGCCTCTGCAAGACCGCTGGTCCCATAGGCAGCACCACATGCTAAATAAATTTGATAGTGTGACACTTGGGGGCACATCTGCACTCGAGGATGGCTTTTCAAAGATGGCGGCACTGGAGAGGGTTGAGGCAGGGCCAGCATTAGAGGGGGGCTGAAGTTCCTCTTTAAAAAGGAGTAGCGTGGTCACAAAGGGGATATGTTTTATTCACTTGTGTTTTGACCTTGTTAGCAAATTTGACTACTCAAGGAAGAGTCAATTTCCTGGCTCAGCCCACCCCGAGCACTTCATAGCCCTTTTCTCTTCTGCAATTGTCTAATTACTGTCTGTGTTGGCTCAGCTCCTGCATCCCTCCCGCTCATGACCCTACATAACCTTTTGCGTAGTAGCCTGGGGAAAATGAAGGAAAATACTGTAAAGTTTCACTTGAGTCTGCTGACATCCCATCCAAGATGGCGGCACCCAACAGCAGTGTCATGGCTTTTGGATGACTTGCAAGACTTTTACAGAAAAATAAAATCCAGAAAATACAATACATGCAAATATATTTATATGGGGAGATGGTTGTTGAAATGAGCGGTCTCTTTAAACTAGGTTTTTCTCTTCGCATAAAGAGATTGACGCCAGCAGGCAGATGGACTGTAACCAGCAGCATAAATCCGAGACTGTACATTGGTTCACAACCAATCCATGGGCCCTTGGTAGCCATTTTGTTCCACTGAGATCTATTTGGGTCTGGTACAGGTGGCAGTTGTTGCCTAGCAACCTCAACACAAGCCGCAACGCAATAACATAATTGCTGGCTTGCTTGTTGGGCATCAAGACACACCAAGTCCGTCCCCACCCCCCGCCCCTAATAATGGGCCATAGGCACAAGACTTAACCCCTTATTAACGATTTTCTTCATCTAAACAGAATTTATGGCCAACGAGTCGTAAGAAACTAAACCCCGGCGCTCACAGGTGGTTAAAATCTGCCGTGTAGCTGAGCCCATAAGCAACCTGTACGTTTATCTCATAGACTGTTTGCAGTCACTCAGCAGCTAATTACAGAGCGAGCCGAAGCGTAAGATGACAGCGCCCATTTATATTCCTAGTCAGGCAGTTGCCCAAATTGCTCTATTAAGGTTAATTGAAGCAGAATGTGATCTGATACATTGCCAAGCTTGCGGTTAACCCTTCCCAAGGCTAAAGAAAAATAATGTTGTTATGACCGTATTGCCGAACAGGCAGGCAGGCAGCGGCTTAATTGGGTTTTAGCGTGAGTTATGACATGTGAGAGAATATGAAGGTCTGCCAATGCCGACCGCTTCTCAGGAAAATTCTGGTGGCCAGTCTGTCATGTTGATCCACTTTCTCAAATAATTTGAATCACTGAACCAGAACAACTATGCAGCTAAGGAGTCAGATGCTTAAAGCTCAACTCCAGCTTTCTTCATAACCTGCAAAACCCCACCCCCTAAACCCCTTTTGAATCTTCAAAAATAAAAAAAAAAAACATACTGTATATATATATATATATTTTTTTTTTTTTTTTTTTTTTTTTCTTGTATGTATATGTCACAGGTCCTTCCTTTTCTTCTTTGGCAATGGCAGCCTCTCCTTCTGGACTTAGCAGAACTAACATAATGAAGTTTAAGCACTGCTCAGTTCAGAAATATTGTGAGCCTAGGCTCCATAATGTCAAGCCCCGAGGAGGGCAGGTTCATGAAAAGCCTGAGCTCACAGGAAGTGGGTTGGATGATGTTGGCCATTAAGGATGAGCTTAGGTCTTCTGGTGGAATGATGGCCATCAGGGATGAGCTTGGGCTGGTTCAGACATATGTCACTCCATGTTTCTTCATAACCACTCACCCCTACCCCATAAGCCCCCCTTGAATCTTTAAAAACCAAAAGAAAACCACCTTATTTATATCCTTATCCTTGTCCATTGACATCACAGGTTCTTCTTGGACTTAGCAGAGGGTGGTGGTCATTCTTCCTGGACTTAGAGGAGCTAATATAATGATGTTTAAGCACTGCTCAGTCCAGAAGTATTGTGAGCCAAAGCTACATGATGAGAAGCCTCCAGGGGGCAGGTCCATGACAGCCTGTACCCAGACGAAGTGGGTTGGATGACGCTGGTCATTAAGAATGAGCAGAGGTCTTCTGGTTGAATGATGGTCAACAGGGAAGAGCTCAGGCAGGATTGGACATAAGTCTGAACCCACCTGAGTTATCCTGTCATGAAGCTGTCAGATCTGACAGCCAGTCATAGGCAGCAGGGGCATTCCTGCCTTGCAGCTGCACATATGCAAGGGGTGTAGATTCAGCTGTAGATTCAGCTGAGGATTTAGCTGTGGGGCAGGGAATTCCTCCGGTGCCTATAATTGGCTGTCAGCTTTGACAGTTTCCTGGTGGGATATCGTAGATAGGTTTGGAATTGTGTCTGAACATACCTGAGCTCATCGGTGATGGGCATCATTCAATCAGAAGACTTGCGGCAGCAGAATATAGTAGACCTTTTACAGAGGACAGTACCAGGTTAATCCTACATTCACACCTAAGTCATATTTCATTAGTTTCCAGAAGCGAGAAAATGCTCAACAATAGGATTTCCTCTGTATTTTAAGGGGCCTGTCCACATCTGAGCAATGTGCTTTCGCTTGTCACGCCAATGAAATACAGGTGCTTCTTTTGGGACAGGATCATTCTGGACCCCACAGACTTCAATGGGAGCACCTGAAAAACTTGTAACGTTTTTGAATTTTTTTTAATGCAAACTTTTACATGGGTTTTTTGTGCATCTCGGGTGTAAGCATTTTTATTTATGCCAGGTTTGCTTACCATTGGCATAAATAAAAATGCTTACACTTGAGATGCTCAAAAAACCCATGTAAAAATTTGCATTCGAAAAATTCAAAAACACCTTAAGAAGCCAACTCTCAAATCTGAAGAGGGAGTACAGCCGCAAGGACTTCTTTTTTTAACTTGGCCATAGTTATTTATTTTAGTATTTGGAAGCTGGAGTTCAGCTTGAAAGATCTGAAGCCAGAGGGCAGTCTCAATATTTCTTTCATGACTGGTTTTCTTTGAGATGCAATGGTAACGTGGAAAACAATATCAATGAAGGGTAGCAATGAATATACCAGGAGTTGAACTATAAAGCAA